TTGGGTTGTTGTTTCTTATTAATTAAGAGCTGCATGAGTCACTGAGAGATTTCAGTGCATTTATTAATAACATTGTTGGTTTGCTTTTGTAATTTGTTGATACAGCAAAAGTAACTTATTTATATTTTGATTAGAATTGCAAGTAAACATGTTTTCTTGGCTGCAAAAATGTTTATTATTTAATCTGACATTAATTTATATTTCTCTCGCCAAATTTAGTTATTTCTTGAAGGTGAACACAAAAGGCACCCGTTAGAAGCTCGTGTTACAAAAAATATCTTGAAAAATAAGTTTAATAATGGAATAAGTCCTATTATATTATTTTGTTGTTATTGTGCGTATTAAAAACAACAATAAATAGCATAAAGTTAGTATTAGCCGGTTAATCCTAGCTTTATCCATTTTAAGGGCTATACCAGTAACATGTATATTATAAATAACTTCAAAGACCTGTATTTTAATTATAGAATTAAATTATATTAAGGTAATTTAATTCTATTAAGGTATTATATTAAGAAATTTAGAAAATATACAAATAGTAATAAGCATTTTTTAAAAACTCTTTCCGCCCTGTGGGCACTAAGAGGGCCTCTTTGCAAGCCCATTATGGGTTCGGCCAGGCCCATGATGGGGCTGCCGGGTGGTGAGGGACGGGGCCCGACATATCCGAACAGACCCACCCCCCGAAAATTTCCTGGAGATTTTTCGACCCAGTTCGGATTCGAGCCCGGGACCCCCAGAGCGGTAGGCTGCCACCTTGACCGCTCGGCCAACCGGCCAGTAATAAGAATTATTATGATAATCATTATTATTATTATTATTTATTTTATTTTTCGTTTTCAGCAACACAAAATAAGTTCATACGTATCCATTATGATATTGAATTGTCCTACAATCAAAGGTAGAGTAAACTTCATAAATTATTTGTTATTTTCTATAAGATAACATTACAGTTCTCATTTAGCATAAATAATTTTGCTAGATTTAAAATAATTCGCAAATAATAACAATCATTATACGACCAAATTTTAATAAATAATAGTTGAATTGAATAAAATATTTATTTTGAATAAATCAGTTTTAAATTCACAGAATTATTTTTTTCTTCGTAGAATTTGCGATTTTTAAAATTATGTATCGTATCTTTTGAACTGATTGTTTATTTTGTAATTCAAACGAATAGTTTTAAAATAAAAATTATGATTATAATTTGCAATTTTAAAAATTTGTTGGGCTTCTTAATTGTTTGATTAACTAATAATGGTGAGGTACCCACACGATTAAATAGATGAAGAGAAGGAACAACGCTCACCACTCACTACACATAAAAAAATGGAGCTCTGGATCTCATGAAGTGAAACTGCACTAAGGGATGGTGTAACTACAAGTATCTGTTATTCTTCCTTTCCCTTTATATCCTACCTTCTAATGGAAACATGGCAACTATATGTTGTAAACTTATAAAGGATAATATAGTAAGTAAAGTTTGTTTTATTTCATTCCAAAACATGATGTAAACAATGAAAAATGATATCAACATAAACTGGAAAGACAGAAAACTACTAATGCTTACTCATTTATTTTACACACTTAAAATGACTGAAAGTTAATCAACAATGGGTTTGGTTTGATGGGATAAAGAAGTAAGATATGCCAATAGGAAAGACTTTTTATGAGAAAACTGGCTCTTATTAGACACGTGAAGTAAACCAGATAAACTCCATGCGGCTAGCCAGTTAATGTCGCTCAAGGGCCGAGTTCTGCCTATATTCCTAGAAAGCGATATCATTTTGTTAAAACTCTTTCCGTCCTACTGACTGTAAAGATTTTTTTCAAGCCCATCGTGGATTCAGCCAGGACCGTAATAGAGAGACCGGGTGGCGAAAAAGAGGACCACACAGAGAATCAAGAAATATTTCGCATTTAATAAATTCACAAAAATAAACTGGTGTAGCCCACTGGGCGGTTCTGCACTGGCGAGTTATGTAAATTTAAGCATTTTGGTTAAACCGTTAAGCAGTTAACACTGTGATATAAAACAAAATTAAAGCAAAAGCATGCTTAAAATAGAGTTAGAATTTCGTATATTTATATCGTAATATCAGTAGAGATAATAACTTTTAACATTTAAATTACTATTTATAGAAATGATTTTAAGAATAAATAATAAAAAAAGAATGATGTCATTGTAATGTGGATCTGACACCCGCCAAATAACTTAGTCGCCTAATCTGATCAATATTAAACTGATACTTAATCTGATCAAGAAAGTCATGCTAAAGTTCCCTTCAAGTTTTTTTCTGTTTAATTTAATAAAATGTCAAGGTCTCCTTATCGTCCTTTCCTAAATCTGCCCCTGTGAATTGCCAGCACACGACCAAGTACTAGTGTTCAATGGTTTTATTGGCTACACTGGTGGCACATAGGCAACAAGTCAGAATTTTAAAGAATTGCGGTTTTTACCTACAGATTACACCTATCAAATTTCAAATCTATAAAAATTCTCATAAATTTATCTACGAACTTATTAAGAATTATCATCTATTTTGTTTAAATTTTCCAAAATAAATTCATAAAATAAAAAATTAAATTTAGGAATAACAATCTTAATTATTTATATCAAAATTTTCCTTTAATAAATTATAAAATTCTTTAAATATTCTTTACTTTTTATGCATTTCAAATGAGCTTTTATAAACCAGTATACGCAGATAACAATTTTAAAAATGTTTTACCTGCTTTAATTTATAATTTTTTTTATTAGTTATACAGGTATATAAAGTAAATTGTCATTGATCTTTAGCTCGATGTCAATTTATATTTTATTACTAGTTTTATTAAATGCTCTTATCATTTTAGCATTATAGAAAAATCATTTTTGATATAATCAAAACAACTTAATGCACGCAGAGGACATCGATCCAGAAGTAAACGCAAATATAATCTTCAACTTTTACATTTATAAATCATCAGAAAACGATACTTAATTTGAAATATTAGTATTAGACAAACATCAGAAGAATACATATAGTTAGTGTTTAAGATTTTTTGGTTGATTGGTGTAAATCACAATCATGTTTTAGGATATATGCTAATTAGCGGAGGGCCCGATCCAGAATGGGGTAAAACATATTTTATCTGTTTTTATTATTCAAATTCATTTTTTATCAACTAGTAGATCACTACAATTATGAGCTTCGAAATAATATGACCATTTTCTATTGTGCTAAAATGGGGTCAGTAAATAAAATGTTATAAAATATGTTCACTCTACGCTATTGTAATTATGAATTCAAGTATATTTTCATTTATTAAAATCAAAATAAAGGACAAAATTCGGTTGGATGCATCTTAAATTTGAGATATTCAAAAATCTGTATGAGAATTTTACCTCTTTCCGTTTTATTATTGTAATTCACGCATGTTATCAGTCGGTTGCCGTTATCAAAATTAGCAGGTTCAAAAACATACGAGCTTGAAAATGCATAAAAACGAACTTAAAAATTTTGCTTCTTATAATGCGAATTTTGTTGTCATCATTATCTTGTACATAGGCCTTTTAAAGCTCTCTTTTCGTGCTATCAGCCTCAACATCTGGTTGTTAGTATGCAAATGTTATTAGTTATTATCAATCTTAACCAACGCTTTAATTAAACATTAAACGTTAATCGTTTTAATCGCTACGTGCCTCAAACATAAAAATTTAAATTGTTAGCGTTATTCTAGGTGTTGTTGAAGTTTATATCAGACAAAATATTGGATGAATTACACACCTTTAAATTGTATTTTTAAATTTTTAAATTCTAGTTTAATTTACTTATTCTACTTAAGTTTATCAGTCGATTATTGTTATCAGTTTAGATCATTCTAATTTATATAAGAAACCAGTCAAATAAATTTGGTGTCGTAAATGTTGCGTGCACAATAAACCAACATGCAATACTCCCAAATGGTTTACTATTGATGTAAGAAAATAGACATATGCAGTATATCGATATATTTTATTTCATGAAATTATTCTTCTAATTCTGAACTTTTATAAAACTTTAATGTTTCTATTATTATCTAAACATTATGATTAATTTTTAATCGATCGATCAAACAAAAAACGCATTTTAGTTTGGTATACGCCTAATTCCAAATATGTACTTGTACACTTGCATTCGTTTTTATTGTATTTTGTTTACTATCCGAAAAAAATATAGTTTACTTTTATGTTATACAAAAGTATAAATTCCGCCATTTTAGTCTATTTATTCTAATGAAAAAAACCTTCAATTTAATCAGTGGATATTGATGATTTGCCAAGAATCCATAGTTATCTATAAATAATATTGGTGTTTTAATATTATGGATATAAACAGTTATTCAGAGATTTTCATATCTGAAATTTCTATCTTTTAGTCCATATATTCAATACTTTTTTGTATATGGAACATACATAGTTCATATTATAAAAAATTATGACGATAGAAATTGAAAATGTTCATTCTTAAATCGTCAATAATATATATAAAAATCTGCTGTTTTATGCAGATTTTTATTACTTCTTCTCTGATACATTCTCTTTTATATTGGTGCCTTACAATGGGGTCGGCAGCATAAAGAGATATAAAATAAAAGACTTGTTGCTTGTTAAAATAGCTTTAGTAAAACTGAATAAGCATGCCAATGATGTATTCCGTTTCAAATGAAACGGACTATCGCATTGACTTGATTATGGATTAGGTTAGGTTAGCTGCAGCTAACCTAACTTAACCTAACTTAATGTAGCTGCTTTACCAGACAAAACGCCCAATGATTAAGCCCATTATAAACAAGCCCAGTTCACAATAGGTCGGTTCAGACTGTAATGGGACTGATTGTGGCAGGTAATATAGTTTAAATGTGCCGTTAATCAATCAAGCACGAATTCATTATTGTCTTATAATAAAATGCAACAATATATTTTATTATATTCAACAGAAATGGTAATTTTAATATTTTAAAAAGCTACTTACGACTTTGCATGAATATTGAGCACGTCTGAGTATCGTGTGGAAAATAATGCAAATCCATATTACAACTAAAAAGTTGGGTTATTCTGAAATTAGATAATAATTTTTAATTTTATAAGTATTATCGATAATCAAAAGAATATGTATAAAGTACTAGATCCAAATAATATTACATTAATTAACCAATGCAAAATTTAGCAGTTGAAACCGCTCTTTTCTTACTGCGCGGTGGTCAAGATTATTGGTAATTTTAAGTGTTGAAAACAGCAGTTAAATGAAAAAAATTGATTTTTAATGCCAAAGTAGCTAAAGTGCTATATTAACTTTTAAAAAACTTTTTTCGTAGCTAGAAGAAATATTATAGAAAAGTTACAAATTTATAGCTAAATCGGTAACAATATTTGTTTGCCTACCATCCAACTAGGAGCCCTACTAGCCTCTACTGCAGTGTTTCCCAACGTGGGTCCCACGCCCCACAGGGGGCAATTGGAATCGAAAATGGACTCGTCCACAGTTTAAGTTCACCGTATATATTAGGGGGCATAAGAATTTTAGAAAGGCTTAGGTGGGGCATAGCACAAAAAAGGTTGCTCTACTGCGTTACTGCATTATTTTTACAGTAGTAAATTGATTATATAAACGTTCAAGAATACTTGAATAATTTATACTTGAAGATTTAGCAAAGAAAAACAAAAATAATAATTTTCCGTAATAATGTTAAATATCAGAAAAACAAAAATGGATTTATTTAAGAAATCAGCTGCGTGGTTTAACTTCTCAAGTCAAATACCTGGGAATATAATTTAACTAAAATAATTTTCTGTTTTGTCATAAACAAATAATTCACATTTCAAAGTTTAAAATATTTAATTTAGTAAAATAAATGGCCAAATTAAAAAGTACGAATATTAGAATTTATTTTAAAATGTTTATGTCAACAGGCCTTCTTAGTGTCCACAGAGCGAAAGAAGTTTCTAAAAAATCCTGATACTGATTGTCTTCAGTATTGTATTCTTCTCCTATTTGAGCTCTTAGTTTTTTTATATCAAATAGAAAAAATGCAATTATTGCTCATATGAAAACTCTTCTGTTTGGAACATGGAATTCCAGACTATTATTTGAATGCAATTGGTTTAATACATTTCCTTTTTTTGATAAAGCATACTGAGAAATTTCATAGAAAAATAAAAAAGTTCCATGTAAAAAGTAAATGATTACCCAATTATTGTGAAGTTAGTGTGTGTCGCAAGATTTTGTTTACTCTCTTTAAAGCTTAATTATTCCTGTGCTTTATGTCGGAAATTTGTGAAATTCTGCAGGAAGATTTGTTTATTAGAAGGATTGATGCTATTAAATTTTGGTGATTAAAGGTCGACGGGATGGGGAGATAAGAGGGTCGTGACATCTCTAGTAGGGTCAGATTTAAATTAATGACGATTTTATTTATTAGCATTTACAATTTTTTATAAAACTCGTCCCTACCCTCAAAATTAAGCTTTTTGCCATTTTGTAATAGTTAAAAATATAACAAGTTTTTAAAATAAAATATCATAGCAGATAGTGCCACCGAATGTTGTCGGAAAAGTTAAGCAACTCGTTGATGGATTTTTTTCATATATCGTGTGTTCGTCAATACCCACAATGGGAGAGACCGAATGGTTAAGGTATTTAAAAGATTGGGTCTAACATTATAACTGATTCTCCATCGAAATACTGTTATTACGCGTAATTAACCATTTAATTTATTTATTTTCATTTCATTTTTCATTTAAAGTTCATTGTTAGATCTGAATGCACTCGTTTTTATAATTTTGAATAATATTTATAAGCAACTGTTTTAATAAAAAAAAAAAGAAATAATCCGAGCTTTCAAATAGTAAGAATGGATTGTGTTATAAAAACATGATATAAAATGATAAGTTTCTATGGATACGTAATCAATAAAGTACAATATAAATACTATGTCATTTGTTTTTCTAAAAATACAAATAGCTTATATCAACAATAGGGTTGCCAGATTATTCTATTAATGAATTAAACATGCAGTTAGGCTTTTGAACTCAAAGGTTCCAAAAATATATACTAAACTGTATTCATTTTCCTCAAATTAGCTGGTATTTGAACTGGAATATGTTAATTGACTCGTTACTTGGCTACTAATGTTATTTACTAAAAAAGTTATTATATGATAGAAACTGCGATAAAAAAAATTTAGTTATAAAAATAATTTCACATTTATTGAAATTTACTTGGGTGTTTGATCAACACCAATGGGCTGACCACATGGAGTTTTCCGTGTCTATAATCATCGCTAAACCCGATGTAATATAGCTAATCACCAAACATATGCCGTAAATCCATCGGGCTAGTTTTAAGGATAATTACTAAATAAATTAAGTAATTAATTTGGCACTAGAGGTAAGCGTTAGGCGCCATCTCTTATTAATATTAATAATTATAAATAAATTAATTAATTTAAATAATTTAGAACCGCTGGGAGAAAAAATCGGCCCGGAGCGGGACTCGAACCCACAACTCCTGCTTACCGTGCAGATGCGTTGCCAGTTACGCTATCCGGACCTCCGAACCGATCTCCTCTTCCAGCGTATAACTATGTAACCATCGACGGTTATTACAATGCCGGCTGGGGACACATTCAGTGCCCACGTCCTACTCCTATAAGGCACTCAACCGGCCATCGCAAGCCCCGGCAAGGCGTAATATATATAATCATCGCTAAACCCGATGTAATATAGCTAATCACCAAACATATGCCGTAAATCCATNGAAGAGGAGATCGGATCGGAGGTCCGGATAGCGTAACTGGCAACGCATCTGCACGGTAAGCAGGAGTTGTGGGGTTCGAGTCCCGCTCCGGGCCGATTTTTCTCCCAGCGGTTCTAAATTATTTAAATTAATTAATTTATTTATAATTATTAATATTAATAAGAGATGGCGCCTAACGCTTACCTCTAGTGCCAAATTAATTACGTAATTTATTTAGTAATTAGCCTTAAAACTAGCCCGATGGATTTACGGCATATGTTTGGTGATTAGTTTTCCGTGTCTAAAGCACGTGTCCAAATCTTTCATGACTAAATACGGACCACTTTTCTTTAAATGTCATCCCAGGAGAGTTGCCTTGTCCCATCAACCCAATTCACTCTACATGTTTTTAGTCTCATATCGGGAAGATGTAAGCTTTGTTTACTAAAGATGATTGGTTTTTCATACTTATATAGAAGCTGGAGCATTTAATGGAACTAGTTTGAAACCATTAAAGTTTTTAGAACCATAAACTTTTAAATCTTCCAAACACTGGACTCTTACTTTCTTATTTGGAATATTCTGTGAAAATGGATCCAATCTTCAACAAGATATTAGAGTGCAGTTAACGTCAATTTTCCCCTTACATAAAAAAGCTATTAGTGTAAGCGGAGAAGAAGGAATTGATTCTAAAGATGAACAATATTATACAGTTATCATACGTGAGAATTAAATTCGAATTTAATTTCATTAAGACTGATCGAAATCAATTTGTTTAAGCAATATCTAGCAGATGACGTTAAAAATTTGATGCATTCTTCTATGGAAAATAAATTAACCTAATTATATTTTATAATATCTTTAATGAATAATGAACGCTAACGTTCATGATATTTTTCAAATATGTATAATCTGGCCGATGTCATGACAAAACTGGTATTTTGAATTTCGATCTATGGGTTGAGATATTCGAGGTCAAAGTTCGTCATGTAAAATCTTTGGGTCGATTGCCGTTGGAAGCAGGTCGCGTGCTACATGTCACTCGAGTTTCCGATTGCTGTCAATTTAGTGATCTCTACAATAATTTTTTATTTTATAGTTACAAGTTAGATCAGTTTTAAAAGTTTTTTCTCACAGTTTTAGTTTTATATGCTGCAGTGCTCATTTTCGTTTTTCTAGGAAACCTGGACCAACTACTATACCAGTGTTCAGTAGTGGTATCTACAAGGCTAGTGGACATTTTACATTAGGGACACATCCAATCTAAATTCGACTCTGATTTTATACTAGGACTATTCGTAAATTTTATAAAATATTTTGCTTACGAGAAGTAATACTTTTTATGTTTATCATATATTTAAAATCAAATATTCTATATAAAACTAGTAGCCCGGGACGCCCCCTAGTGGGCGTTTTAGCAGTATTACAAATTCCTATAAGGCATGTTTAATGCACTTAATATATATAAATGTATACAACTGTTTCTTTGGTCGTTGATGAAACAGGCTATGTCATCGACTTTCTTATCTAGTTGTATTAAGGCTACTTTACCAGGCAACGCTCCCATTATTTAAGCTATTTCTTAAGTGAATAGTATAGTATTTGTATACAGGAGTGTATCCGAAATATTTTAAAGAAGGGCGGCTAAAACATTTTGCCTTTTTTTTTAAATATAATTTTGCAAATTCATTATTGCTTACTTTAGCTTTTGTCTCGGATTGTCAAACCCGGCTTTCACAACCCGCTATTATTGTGGTCGTAACCGAACCCACAATGAGCATAGAATAAAGGATTTCTAGTGCCCGCAGGGTAAAAAGAGTTTTAAAAAAATCCCTGAAACTCTTAGTTATCTCAATTTATTTATTAAAAATCATTTTAATATTTAAAAAATCTAGCAACGAGTTGCGTAACCCTCCGGCCATTATGAGATTTTATTTTAAAAATAGCATTCGTATTACAGTAGAACCTCGAAAACTCGGCTCTCGATAACCCGGCACTCCGGATAACTCGGCCACACCCTGGCAGGGCAAAAAAATCCTTAGTTAATTAATTTTCATTATAGACAGCTTTATAAAAGTATAAAAGCTCTCATAAAGTATTTTTCTGAGGTCTGTCTTATCAGGTAAATTACTGTACACAGTGTATTCATTAATTTTCATTTTCATGTAGTAAAGGCTCTATGCCTTCATAAAGGACGTACTTTTCCTTCGTTTAAGGGTATTTGGGCAGTTTATTCTCTGTTATATTCTCAAGTAAACAATACATACAAGTTCAGTACAGTATTTTCTGAGGAAACACTCGTACTTATTTTTTTTAACCCCATTCCCGATAACCCGGCATTTTCACAAACTCGGCCACCCTTCGGTCCACATTAGGCCGAGTTTTCGAGGTTCTACTGTATTAATCAAACTAACTAAAATTGTATGTGGCGCTATCTGTTATGAGATTTTTTTATAAAAAATTTATATATTTTTAGTTATTATAAAATAGAAAAATACTTAATTTTGAGGGTAGAAATGAGTTTTATAAAACACTGTAAATGCTAACAACAAATAAAATCTTTAAGTCTGATTCCTCGCGAGATATGATACGTGACCACCTCTATCTCTCTTCTCTAGACCCTTGACCTTTCAGCATCAAAATTTCTCTAGCTCTATCTCTATCTCTAGACCCTTGACCTTTCAGCATCAAAATTTAATAGTATTAATGCCCCTTATATACAAGCCACCATGCCAAATTTCGTTTCTTTATCTTCATCCTGTCCTGAGATATTAATTAAGAGAAATAGATGCCACAACACACACACATATATGCATATCCACGGAATTTTAGCCATTTTTTGACTTTTTTTGGGTTCCGGGAGTCTCAAAAAGTGAAGATTTGCAAAAAATTCAAACAGTCAAATTTGACACGATTACCATACGAGACCCTTTGTAATGTATACATGAAAGTAAAAATGAAATTACTTTATTAATCAACAAACATGATGATAAAAAAACTTTCTAACCTTGCCATAAAAAGAACAGTCGAATCATTCGATAATTTTAAAAACATATATGGAATAATATCTCCATCTAATCTTCCGTCTAACGAATTCTTAAAGTATGTATCAGGTGTCCATATTTTATTCCTCCACTCTGGATTCAATATGACTGTAGATGAGTTACTTGTCTTCGGAAACTTAAGTCTTCTGTCTTTCCATTTAAATTGAATAAATAAATCGGCCCAATATGTCTGAATATAAAAATAATTCTTAGGAAACGTCGTGGGTTATTAAAAATATGAGAAAAAACTCAACTTACCATTTCCGATTCATCCAGGGAACGAATATTTATTATAATAATCTTTACTGCAACAACTGTTGGCTTTCCTAAATTTTTGTTTATTAGTAATTTATCTGTTAATAAATATACTGGGTAATTGTAGTTAAAGTATCCCTATTTAACATTGACTGGAGAAATATTTGGCAGTCTAAATGAAACCACATTTGATATGGTGATATTTCGGAAGATGAATAAGACGTTTCCGTAAAAAATTACTAAAGTTCATCACTAAGGCACTTTTGGCACTTTGGATTTTAATTTGTATGATTCTTGGTTATTAAAACACGTAAAAAGCATGGTTTACGAGGGTCATGTTGCAAATTTTGCAGCCTCGAAAGATAGTATTACACTGCTTGTAAGTATCACACAGGATCTTTCTTTCTTCTTCTCAGATGTTGATATGGAGATTTTAGCTGATATAGGCTCTTTCTCCGACAGACATTTGGTTATGATTGCTATGCGACCGATTAGCCAGCCGTATCCGAACGGCCTATACGTGCGCGCGGGAAATAATGCCTTCCGGGAGGACTTTTATGGGGAACTGGCCTCCTATTCAGTCGTTATTGGCAAGGAGAAAACCCGGAAAACTCCAAGCAGCCAGCCTGTCCGATCGCGGCGCGAATCCACGACCGAACCTCCCAGTGTTTAGGGTCTGGTCACCGCTATGAGCATCATACAGGATCAATCAGGGTTGACCGTTAAATACACTATTCATCGTCTTCAGGTTTTACATCTTCTGAATGGGAATCATAGTGACCAGTATCCCCTACATCACTGGAGTCCCTGTATATCATGAGTATCTTGTACAAAGAAAATGGTTGTTTCTGATAGCGCCTTAAATGAGGAAATGTCACCACACCACAGAATTGGACTGTTAACCCCACTAAAAAGCGTTGAACAAGGAGTACTTTAATTACAATCATCCCGTGTATATATATTTATATTTTAATATATTAAATATATATATATATATAGATAGATATTTAATATAT